ATAGAAGAATCACACAGCCAGCAAGCGAAGCTCCCGAAATCAAAACAAAATGAGAATTCATATAACTTGAAATTTCCGGTAAAGATGTGATATTTGTATATGTGTCGTTTGATCTATCAAGTATTTCTGTAAATATATGAATAAATAATTTTTTTTTTTAAGTATTATAAATTAAATGTATAAAAACCTGTTTCATTCTGAAGTTCATATTGTTCTTTTAAAGCAAAATTGTCATTGATTTCTGTAGAATTTTCTGCTAACAAAACAATTTGTGATTTATTGTTTACTTGTACATTATTAGCAAGTCCTAAATTAGAAGGTACAGTTTTTAAATTGAGTATCTGTGTACTGCGAGCCAAACGAATTAAATTGTATGGAGCAAATGCATTACTGGCCAATACTAATGGTAAAATACCTGAAAAAATTTAATGCATAAATGCTTGAAGAAATAATTGAATATCAAACACTTATTTACCTTTCAGGTAACTAGCCAAACATATGAAACAAATTAAGTACATTATGTTGATACTATGTAATGAAACATTTTAATAAAATTGTTAAGTCATACAAATTGACAATATTTCATTCCAAAAGTTTGCGAAAAACATTGTATAGACAATTTAAAAAAACATAAATTAATGTTGTGAAAAACTTAATAATTATTTAGGATTAGTATGAAGAAATCATTTTATTGGCTATTAGTAATAGMTGTTTTGCACTTCGCACTTGTCACTGTCTTGAATAGTTGATTTTTATAAATTGATAACAATATTCTTGTTTATACCACAACAACTCGGATAATATGGATATTATAATGTGGCGACACTTGTCCCACATAAACGCGACAGGTGACCTACAGGATGCATCACCGAACTACAACGCCAGTGTTAAAGTCCCGCCGGCGCTGCCGCACTGCCGCAATAGTTATTTGAGTTCCCTCGCTCTTAGCGTYTCACGTTTCCGGTCCTATTCCTTTTTGTTTTATTGTTCGCGTCACACACATTAACGTTTTTTCGTTGTAATTTATTGCATTGTCTGTGTATGTCTTTATTTTACCTAAATATAATATTATATTC